GGGGATTGTGATATGGTCGCATCTTGCATAATCCGAAGCAATTAAACGATATGGGGATTGACCCCACGAACGCCGCACGAGAATACGTGTGAACGCAATCCGAGTCGCGCCCTTACACGCATTCCCATACGTCGATTCGCCCACCCAAGAAGACTTGAGGCGGAACCGTCATCGTGTACGAACATACTGAGGCGTCACTGAATCTGCCTGTCCTACACGTGTCCGTGCGCAGTGACGATATCCTGACCCGAGCTATCCCATCGACGATGATACCATCAAGCGATCTTTGAACTCAGACTCGTCCTATGACCCGGACTATTTCACCCCTATAATAAACGAACTCATAAGGACACGGTACCCTTGTCACACGGAGAATCGGCTATGTCCGCGGGAATTCCACTGTGCCACCACTAGTGACCCTCGGTGCTCCGATTTCCCTTCCCCTGACCACACCTACTACTTCACCCACCCGGGATTCGTTGAGATCACCACCAGTTTCCCTCCTCTCCGCCTCCTTCTCCCATATCATCAACTTAGTGTCGTCCCGTGGCCCGCCATAGCCCCCTACTGGCCCAATACGTTTTGTGTGAACTGCTGACGTAGCGGCGGACAGAGAACTCTGGAATTCCGAAGGCCCAACCCGGGCACGCGGCGACCTGCGCCACGTGGCGGCCCCCGACGGCCTAACTTTTCAGGACCAACCCCGCCACGGAGGGACTTCCCCGTAACCCGTCACCCACAGTGGCCCGGCCCCACCAGACCGTGAGTCCCTTGCGCACACACCCCTGACTCGCCTAATTGCATTCATACCCTTAAGACTCCCCCACTTTCCCCAAAAATCCTTGGCACACCCCTTTTCGCAATTCCCGGCCCACATCCCACTCCGATCAGGAAGTCGTGCCGGGCGTGAGGTTGGGCGTCACAACGTCGCCACGACTCCGTCAAACATGGGAATCCTAAAAATTTCAGTAGGTCGGGGGCTACTGAAAAATTTAGGAGGAATTTGCGTGGGGAATCCTATATTCTTTAGGATTCGTCCTAACGCCGTTTTCACATTTTCGATCTCGAAATCAGATTTAGGAGCGCGTGCAACGACGATGCCATCCTAAAAACAAGCATTTTTAGGAGTGTCTAATGAGACCCTAAGTGGAGCGATGATGACTCTATTACTTTTCTAGAGTTCTTCTGACAGCTCTAGAACAGGTTTTCGAGCGCCCATATCTTGAGTAAGTGCAGCCATGCCCCACTCAAGGAAAAGCTTGAATCTAGAGTTGCAGCAAGCCCCCTTTTCTCGTTTCCAACTCCAAAACATCCGCCTGCGATGCCCGAAAGTTCAACAGGTCTCAAGAGGGTTGATGAAAAGCAAACGACTTTCACCTGGTGTGAGCGAGGCTGCCAGAGTTTTGTTTGAACGTGCTTCAACAGTTGCTGTAGAATCCAGGCTTTTCTTAGGGCCTCGCCACACGGATGACGAAACACCGTGATTTTCAACAAATGTCAGGGAGTTTTTGACATTGGGCCTAGTGGCACTGCTCGCCATCCGTCACATTTCGTGGCGGATGCGTGGAGAGTGAAAAAACTGAGAATCATGTCGAACTCGAGGCCTGGTTGCAGTTACTCACCACTACATTCCTTCTACAGAAAAGTTAAAATTTTGTGTCTTAACTGATGTCGACTCGTGAAGCCCTGCACTCTCCAGAAAGTTGTTTTGTGAAGAGGTCCGAGGACCACCCTCCACAAACCGCCGTGCACATGCGGGGAAACCAAATTCACTTTCCACAACTTGTGTCGACGGTGTAGCAGGCACCACTAGCACTCCCAAGGAGGCTCCATCTATTGGTGGGGAGCAGTACCTGCTGGAAATCGGGTCCTGCGTCCCTGAACATTATGATTGATTATCTGAACATGAGGATTACAGAGCACTATGAAACTAGGGGATTAACTGCCAATTAGACTGCGCGGTGGACTAACCCTACACGGTGGATTTAGTCTGACTAACCTTTTCCTGGCAGCAGCGCATCGATTCATCTCGCCTCCTATGTAGCCCTAGTGCGAGGGAGTGTCCAGACCCCTCCAATCCAGAGAAACTCCCGTCTCACTCGCATATCCTATCCACACGTCAGAGCACTATAGTTATATATGCATTATGAAAGCGGTGACCCGCACCTGACTCATACCAAGATTCTTCCTAACAAAACACACCGCACCTTGAAATTTGAATGTAATCCTTAGTGTCCAATTGAAATTCTTCAAGACAAACCCTAATGGCTACTCTACCTTGCTGCACCTAATCCAGTCTCAAAGAATCCTCCTCGTCGAACAAGTTGCATCCCTTATCCGATATCCTCCATAAAGTCAAGTTGCAACAGACTGGTTGTCGAAACGTGTGTAAGGACTTGCCAGATAGTGTGGGGAAGCGGTGGCCGGGGGCGCTTAGCGCACGCGCGGCGGAACTGCGGCACTTAATCACGCTGCGTCACGAGTTGACGAAGAACTGTGATTCGACCCCCGGTTGAGGGGGTGCCACGCTGGACTCCATGTCCGCCACGTTTTCTTCATACGTGGCAGAAGGATGAGACGGGGACAGGAACCCCGGTGGAGTTGAAGTGGAGTGAGCCCAGGCGAAACCAAAGTGTGCGGAGCCGGCCAAAACACAGGGAGCAGTGAGATCAACAAACTGCAGGAGGGTGAAGGACAAAAAAGAGGGGGAGAGATCGACAACGGAATCGAAAAAACGGCGGGCGCACGCAACAGAGGATTGACAGGAAAAAGATTCCGCGCTACCGTCTTCACAGACTACTGCACCCGCACTGAGAAAGAATGGAAGAAAGGGGGAGAGAGAGGAAAAGAGAGTGAAAAGGAAGGGAAGGACAGGCGGAGCGAAGGAGAGACGGCGGGTGGGAGAAAGAGAAAGAGAGGCAGAGGTGGGGAAGCAAGAGGAAAAGGGAGAGAAAGGGAAGGGAAAGTCAGGTGGAGGGAAGGAGAGACGGAGGGTGAGAGAGGGGGCAAAGGAAGGTAAGAGAGAAGGTCGATAGAGGTGCGATGCAGGGAAAGGGAGTGAACGAAAGAGAGGGAGAGTGGAGAGTGTGAGCACCGAGGGAAGGAAGGACAAGAGGGGGAGAAATAGACAATGGAATAGAAAAAACGGCGCGATAGGAAACACGGGGAGGAGGGAACACAGCAAAG